TCTCGAAGACTTTACTCCATTTTTGTCCTCACACTCCACTCTCCTTTGAGGAAACAGTTCTTCCGCAGTTGTATTTTGATGCATTCCAACAGGAGGGGCTCATCTTCTGGTACTATTTCTGATGATATTTTGGTATTCTTCATCATGTTTCAATATTCAATATTCTGGTGCTATCTGACAGTGTTCCATTGCCATTCATAAAGTTTTCAGTGACTAAATATTCGGAAATGCTCCTCTCCTTCTGAATTTGTCTTAGTTTGGAAGCTCATCTGAACCCTGCTCACCATGGGTGATATTGCTGGTATTTAAAATTCCAGTGGTATACTTTCCAGAATCACAGCAACATGCAAGCCAAGACCAACTGACATAGAAGTGGTGGAAGTATACTGTGACATAGTTTTCCTGTGGAGTGACTGGTAGGTTCAAATTGTCCATTCTTTGGTTAGCAGCCAAGTGCTTAACCACCAGGGCTCCTTTCCTTTGGTACAAAAGCAGGGGGAAGAGGGCAAAATTAACCAGCAACAACAATAAACTTCTAAAAAAGGCATATTCCATAAATGTGGTGGAGCATACAGGAGGCAAACTCATGAAAACTTCTTAGACATAAGCAAACAACCTTGAGGGCCTGGGAGCTCAGGATCATGGCCTTGGGGGACACCAAAGTCAATTGGCATAGTATGGCTCACAAAAACAATGTTCTACATCTGCTTTGGTGAATAATGACTGGAGTCTTTAAAGCTTACAAGTGGCCATCTAAGTAAGGCACAATTACTGGTCTCTCTCTGTCCAACGGAAAGAAGAGTGAAGGAAATCAAAGATACATGGAAACAATTAGTCCAATAGACACATGACCCTGCAACCAAAAGATATAGATGGTGCTCGGCTACCATTACCTAGAACAAATCTCAAAATCATAAAAAAGAGCAGGCTTACCTTTTGGATAGAGACTAATGGAACCCTGAGACTATGTCCCTTAGTCACCCTCAGGTCTGGAAATGAACTCATTCCAGGTTTCAATTTTCAGTCAAATAACAAACAAGTCTGTATGGGGAACAATAATACTAGATAGGTACGCTTATCTTACAAAACCAACCTTTTCAGATCAAAAGGGCAGCATGTACCCGTGGACAAACTTCTGAAGGGCTAGGAAACAAGGTGGAATGAGGAAGCATAGGGAGAAAGTAGGATAAGTAATATCACATTATGGGGATTAAAATCAATGACTTGAAATAACATGTGTATGAATTGTTGGATGGAAACCTGATGTGCTCTGTTAACTTTCATATAATTCGCAATAAAAAGTTAAAAAAAAAAAGAGGGCATATTGTTAAGACCAGTGACTATGAGTTAAAACCAGGGCTTCGAATCTGTTCAAACCAGTTTAGTCATGACTGATGAAGCCAAATGAGAATTTAAAAAAAAAAAAAAAAATTAGGGTGAAGTAGAACAACTGGAATATGAAAAATTATGAGTTAAAGGCCCAGAATTAGAAAAATGTGGCATCAGGATTGGAGGAAGACTCATTAACAACCTGTGATATGCAGATGATACAACCTTGCTTGCTGAAAGTGAAGAGGACTTGAAACATTTACTGATGAAGATCAAAGAGCACAGCCTTCAGTATGGATTACATCTCAATGTCAAGAATATAAAAATCCTCACCACTGGACCAACATTCTTATCAATGGAGAAAAGATTGAAGTTGTCAAGGACTTCATTCTTCTTGGATCAACTATCAATACTCAGGGAAGGAACAATCAAGAAATCAAATGATGTATTGCATTAGGCAAATCTGCTGCACAAGACCTCTTTAAAGTGTTGAAGAGCAAAGATATCAGCTTGAAGACTAAGGTGTGCCTGACTCAAGCCATGGCATTTTCAATAACCTCATATGCATGTGAAAGCTGGACAGTAAATAAGGAAGACCGTAGAAGAATTGATGCTTTTGAGTTATGGTGTTGGAGGAGAATATTGAAAATCCCATAGGCTGCCAAAAGAACCAAGAGATCCATGTTGGAAGAAGTGCAGCCAGAGTGCTCCTTGGAGGCTAGGATGGCCAAACATTGTCTCTCATACTTCGGATATATTGTCAGGAGGGACCGGTCGCTGGAGAAGGATATCATGTTTGGTAAGGTGGAAGGTCAGAGAAAAAGAGGAAGACCCCCAATGAGATGGATTGCCCAAGTAGCAGCATTGATGGACTCAAACGTGGCAACAATAGTGAGGTTGGCCCAGGATTGGGCAGTGTTTCATTCTGCTGTGCATAAGGTCACTATGAGTTGGTATTGACTCGATGGCACCTAACAACAACAACAAAGCCTGGTATCATAGTGGGTTATGAACTGGGCTGATAACCACAAAGTCAGCGGTTTGAATCTACCAGTCTATCAGTGAGAGAAAGATGAGGCCTTCTGCGCCTGTAGAGATTTGCAGCCTCAGAAACCCTATGAGTTGTGACCAACTCCATGACACACAACCACCACCAGCACAATTTGAGAGATTGGATTATTTCCATACCTGTGGAAAGCAATAACACATTCAAAACAGTTTGGATGGTCACCAAACTGTCAGCAATCCATCATTTTTCCTGTTCCAGATATCATCCCAGTTCACTCACATTTTACAAAAACATCTTATTATGATCTACATGAAAGTTTACCAAGCACACTAGCTTCCCATTCAACAATTTATATCCATTTTGTTTCATGACATTAGTTACAATCCCCTCAGTGTAACAGCCTTCTTCCCACTTCCTGTATTCTCCATATCTAGTTGTCCTCTGTTACTGCCCCTTCTTGCCCTGTGTCTTATTTGGCTGAAAAGTGATCTCTAGCAGTGGGTTCAGTTCCAAGTTTGAAGACAGTCTAAGACCACCAGTCTGTATCAGATCAGTAAGTCTGGTCTTTTTTATGATTTTGATTTGTGCTCAATATATTTTTTCCTACTCAGTCTAGGACCTTCCATCATAATCCTGAGTCAAGCAATCAGTAGTAGTAGCCGGACACCATGCAGTTCTTTTGGTCTCAGTGGAGGCTAAGATCCATTAGACCTTTGGAAAAATTATTTCCTGGACTTTTTTATTTTCTTTACTCCTCTTTGTTCTAGACGAAAATACCAGCAGCTGTAGACACCAACAGATGGCTGCTCACAAACTTTTAAGACTCCAGTTGCTACTCACCAAAGTAGGATGTAGAAAATTGTCTTTGTGGACTATATTATGCCAGTTGACTTAGATGTCACCTGAGACTATTCGTCTAAATTTTTCAAATTCAGGTGCATTCAGGCTTTGCTTCTCCAGGCATGACTGAACAAGGAAGAACTGTTTGGAAACACTGGTTAAAGCCTCAGGTAATACAGGAGATACTTGCCCTGGCATAAACTCCATTTCACATAATTACCTTTGACCATTTAAGTGACATGAAGCCAAACAAAACCTCTTGCCTTCAACTGGTTAATTAGTTCTTATTTGAAAAACAGACTCTAAACCATTGCATATTATCAAAGTCCAAAAGTCATACCTTTCCTTGTGAGTAAATAGATGATGGCTGGCTGCAAAATTAGCTTAAATGGTGCCACTGTGAAGAAAAGGTTGACCTTTTCCATTTTAACTTACCTCTGCTCTTTTATTGTTTTATTTCTGGTTACTTTTGCAAAAATCAAAAAGTAGAAGCAAGAAAAAAAATTGTTATAATCAATATGCTTTATTAGATTCAAGTCAACACAGCCTTGTAGTAATGTAGGATTCACAAAGGTTGAGAACTTAATTTCTCCTCTAAATACCCTCAGGTAGGGAGAAATGGAGTCTAGAAAGGTAATGTTACATCCGTGATGTGACTAAAATTCTTTTGTTTCTTTGATCACAGGAAGTCTTTTTTGGAGAGTTTTTGTTTTATTTTTAAAGTGAAGATGACCACGTCAAGTCTATGACCTATGATCAATATTATAAAAGAGAGAATAAAATAAACTATGAACTGTGTAATATGTAAGGGTAAGTTTTATCTTACAAAACTTTGGTTTTAGCTATGTATTTGTGTGATCTATGTCCTAGGTTGTTATGTAAAACATGAGTCACTGTGTGAATTAGTGACAAATGTGTGAAAGCCATTGCTCTGTGAGACAAGCCTAGAAACTCCTGACATCCTTTACTGGTAAAGCGGCTCAACATTGATCTTAAAGAAAGGAGACATGGTTGACCAAACAAGCAAAGATGATTTAAAACTATTTGTTTAGGTAATTAAAAAAAAATTTTTTTTTCAAATAAAATCCTCAGTGAGTTAGGAAATAAAAGATGAACTGTACAGTAGCTTTTCAGAAAATAGTATTTAACAGATTTATTCTGTCATGAGTCTTTACGGTCACAGAAAGCCTCACTTTGGTAGTTTCGAGCTGCAGACCTTGAGGTTAGCAGCCCCACTTGTAACCACTAAGATACCAGAACTCCTTACAAAACCTTTTTTTAAGGGCGGCCTGGATCTTAGGTTGGGAAGTGAGGGGTAAAGGTCCACTGTACTAAATTAAATCAAAATCTTTGGAATAGAAACTACTCCTGAAGAGCTAGGTAAATGCTGTATGCTTACAGCGCTGGCTTTTCTGGAGTAGTTTCTGTTTTAAAGCTCTTAAAAGAAGTATCTAGTATAAACTTGGCATCGACAATTCCAGTCCAGATCCCCTGCTTAATAGCTATATGTCTCAACCTCAGTTTCGTTACCAGTACAACGGAAACCGAGAGTTCTTTGCAAAGACAAAACAAAGTTGTTAAGTTGTTGTTGCTAAATATCGTCGAGTCGGTTCCGTCTCACAGTGACTGTGTACAGGATTTCGAAGGAGCAGCTTGTGGTGGTTTACAATCCAGTGCTGATCCTACAGCGCCACTACAGGAACTGATACAAACCAACCTCTGTAAAAACCTCTTTAAACCAGCAGAGGAGAGTCAAAGCCTCGGGAACATGAGGGTGAGTGCGTGAGTCGCTGCCCCCGCTGGAAGCTGCCGGGTTTGTTACCTGATCGCATTGACCGGTGGGTTTCGGAGGCGGATCAGTGCCAGGCAATTAGGGAGCCGCGAATACTCGGCCATGTTTCCAGGATCGCCTAGGTCGCCTCTGCTTCGCAGGGCATGGCACCAGCAGATCCCCCAGCGCGCAGAGCCACCCATGGGGAGGGGCGCCCGCTGCGCCAATGCGAGCCCGGCACCGCCTTCCAGAGACCGTGCCACCTCCCGGCTCCAGACCTTACCTTCCAACCCAGCCCCCTTCTTTCCGGGACCCCATCCAGCTCGAAGAAGAGGAGGTGTTTGCAAACGCTTGTGACCGTTGGCATCACTCCTGCTCCCATTACAAAGCCAACCAACCAAAGAGGACCCTCGAAAGCTGGTAGAGGATTGGGGTGGTGGTGGTGGTTGTTATGTGTCGTCGAGTTGGTTCTAAGGACCAGTTGGTGAGTTTGAACCGCTGACCATGTGGTTCAAAACGACGTTGCGGTCCAGGGCTATGAGAGGGTGGTGGTGGTGGAGGGCAAGTCGGCTTTTGCAACCTCCTGAAGCAGAGGACTGAGTTCTCAGAACCACTGTGGGTTCATTAAGTTGGCCAAACTCCTCTCAGCAGAGTTTTCATGATACTTCTGAACAGGGACAGGTAATCTGGGGCCCAGACAATTTATGAAATGATGCATACCTAGAACATGTAAAATACATCGCACATCTAACCTGAATGTGTGTGGTGCTTGCCATCAGTTGTTTATGTAAAAATCCTTCTAGTGATCTTTGGATCCCAGGGCAATTAGAGAAATCTCTGACTTTCTTGTCTATCTAATCCTTTGCCTTTATCATATAAAAAGTCTGATGTCTGTTCAGGTTTATGATTTCTAATACTTAATTTATTCATTCATAAATTTTGAGTATTCACTACGTTTTCTAACTGTAGGCTAAATCAAAATCTTTGGAATAGATTGCAAAAATAAAAACACTTAGTCCCTTCCCTCCAAAATTCAGGACAAAGTTTCACTATGTGTGGCTTGCCTGCAGTAGTTCCTACAGTCCATTAAGTGATTAAAAGGTCGTCTGGAATTTTCAGAGGAAAAAATAACTGAGTAGTTTTGGTCACTTATGTTTCACAAATTTTGTATGACCAAGGATTATTTTCTAGATACTCTTATACCTCTTTAAAAATAAAACCAGGTTCCTAGTTCTGGTGTGGTGCAGAAGGATAAGCGCTCAAACTCATCAGTGGTTCAAGTTCACCAGCCGCTCCTAGGAAACCCTATACTGGGTCACTATCAATCGAACCAACTCAACGGCATGTAACAATAACAATTTGTAGGAAAGTACTGTTACTTTGAACCCTAGTAACAGTAGCAAATCCTGATGTGGTGCTGTGGGTTAATGCTCTAGACTGCAAAATCGGTTTGAACTGCAAGATTGGTGGTTCAATCTCATCAGTCACTCCTTGGAAACCCTCTACAAGGTCTCTATGGGTCGGAACCGACTTGACGGCACTTAACAACAACAGTAGCAAAACCCATTCAATAGATCAAGAACAACTGCCTCAATGAATCCAGTAAATATATGTATATATATATATATAATGTATATATAAGGAGCTCTGGTAGTATAGTGGTTACGAATTGGGCTGTGAACCTCAAGGTGAGCAGTTTGAAACTACCAGCTGTTCTGCGGGAGAAAGATGAGGCCTTCTGCTCCTGTAAAGATTTACAGCCTAGGAAACCCTGTACAGGGTGGCTATGGGTCGGAATTGACTCCACGGCACATATCAACAACAACAACAAATATATATATATATATATTAATTTTGGTTTGGGTGAAAGTTTACAGAGAACATTCATTTGCCATTCAGCAGTGAATATACATTTTGCTTCATTAATATTAGCTGCAATTCCTTCAATTTAGCAGCACTCTTCGGCTTCCCTCTGCACTTCCCATTTCCACTTATCCTTCTCTGCCATCTGACCTTTGTTCTTAGGCAAATCCTGTCCTTTGGGTCACATATGGTTGACTGTTCTGAGGAGCATGGTCCTTGCAAGTTACAGTTGACTTTATAGGCCTGTCAGATGCTTGGTTATTTCTGGGGATGGATTTAATTCCAAGTTTGAAGGATGTCCAAGGGCCATAGTTTCCTGGGTTCCATTGTTCAAACCAGAAAGTCTGGTGTTATAGCTAACACTAATATCACACACAAAATTTTGCAGAAGATAATTAAAAAATGATTGCAGCAGTACATCAACAGGAAGCTGAAAGAAATTCAAGCTGTATTCAGAAGAGGATGTGGAATGAGGAATATCATTGCTGGCATCAGATGGATCTTGGCTGTAAACAGAGAATATCAGAAAAAGATGTTTGCTTGTGCTTTATTGACTATGCAAAGGCATTCAACTATGTGGATCATAACAAACTATGGATAGCATTGCAAAGAATGGGAATTTCAGAGCACTTAACTGTGCTCATGAGGAACTTGTAAACAGACCAAAAGGCAGTCATTCCAACAGAACAAGGGGACATTGTATGGTTTAAAATCAGGAAAGGGTTTAAATAGTTTAAAATCAGAATATGTGTCAGGGTTGTATTCTTTCACCATACTTATTCAATCTGTGGAGTCCTGGTGTGGTGCTATGGGTTAAGGCGCTAGACTGAAAGTCAGTTTGATCCACAGGGTCGGCGGTTCAAGCTCATCGGTTGCTCCTTGAAACCCTATACAGGGTCACTATGGGTCAGAACTGACTTGACAACAATATTCAATCTGTATGCTGAACAAATAATCAGAGAAACTAGACTATATGAAGAATAACATGCCATCAAGATTGGAAGAAGGCTCATTAACAATCTGCAATATCCAGATGATACAACCTTGCTTGCTGAAAGTAAACAGTACTTGAAGCACTTGATGAAGATCAAAGAATGCAGTCCTCAGTGTGGAAGTATGGATTACACCATTAGGGTCACTATGAATTAGAATCCACACAATGGCAAAGGGCTTTTTTTGTTGTTTTTGTTGTTCTTAGTGAACATAATATATCTTCTGATGATCACAACTTTCTTTTACAAATCTATCTCATTAATTAAGATCTTAATGTAAAATGTACCAGTCTATAACATAGCATCTCTTATCCTTTTTTTGTGTTGTTAAGATGCTGATCAGATTTCAGCAGAGCTTCCAGACAAAGAGTAGAAATTAAGGCTTGATGATCTATTTCTGAATACCAGCCACTGAAAACATTGTGGTCTACTTCTATTGTGCATGGGGTTGCCTTGAATTGGGGCTAACTTTTCTGCCAACAACAGCATAGTAATTGAAAGCTATGCTGGTTAGCTAGAGTCTCTCTAAGCAGAACAGACTTGATTTTACACAGAGCAGACGGACAAAGATGTCAGTTTGAGGACTAAGATGGCATTTTCAATAGCTCCATATGCATGTGAAAGTTGGACAATGAATAAGAAAGACTGTAGAAGAATTGATGCATTTGAGTTATGGTGTTGGAGAAGAATAGTAAAAGTACCATGAGCTGCCAGAACAATAAATCTGTCTTGGAAAAAGTACAGTCAGAATGCTCCTCAGAAGCCAGGATGGCGAGACTTCATCTCTCATACTTTGGACATGTTATCAGGAGGGACCGGTCCTTGAGGAAGGACATCATACTTGTCAGCAAAAAAGAGGACGACCCCAACGAGATGGATTGGCACAGTGGCACCAGCAATGGGCTCAAGTGTAACAATTGTGAGGATAGCGCAGAACCCGGTAGTGTTAGGGATGCTATGAGTCAAAACCAACTCGATGGTACCTAACAACAGCAACAGCAATCTGGGTAATATAGACTTCAAGGATTGGGGAATTTCCAAAGGCATTTAGGACTGACTTCGACTGTAGAAGTTGTTTGCTTGCATGAGCCCATTGTGATTGGTAGCACTTGAAGGCATGTTTATTGGAGTGTAATTAACTGGCTATCAGAAGTGAGGAGCTGTCATTGATATAGGTTGGTATTCAAAAATGGGTTCATCCATTTTGATCAGGACCACAGTTGCTTACACCATAATTGAACTAAATGAGGGAAGTTGTTGAGGAATTTTCCTGCTGCTTTATATAGTCTTCACAGATTGCTACAGTTGGATTCAGGATGAGTTTGGGTCAGTGAGATCTCAAATAAAAAACTGAATTTGAAATACGCATTAATGCTAGTCCTGGGGATGTAGTGCTGCTATCACAGAAATGCAGCAAGTGGGCAGCCTTAATAAAGAGAAATTGGTTCTCTCACAGTCTAGGAGGCTAGAAGTCCAAACGCATGGTGCCAGCTCTAGGGGAAAGCTTTCTCTTTTGGTTTGCTCCCAGTTTAGGAGGAAAGGCCTTGTATACTTTCAACAGCTTTAGGCTCAGCATTCCATGGCTAGTATTCAACTATCTCACTGGCAACTCTCAAAGACCTAGAAGGAAAATCTGTGAATAATGTGGAGTGAGATATAAAAAGTTGAATGACAAATCAGAATCCAAAAATGCAAGGTTGGACCTTCCTAGTGATAAATTAAGTTTGTCTAGTTTATTTAGTTTAGTCTGGTATACTGTGGTGAGTTGCATGTTGCTTTGATGCTAGAAGCTATGTCATTGGTATTTCAAATACTAGCAGGGTACCTAGGCTAGATAGGGTACAGCAGAGCTTCCAGCCTAAGACCTGGAGATCTACTTCTGAAAGAAAATCGTGCAGTGAAAACCTTATGGATAGCAGCAGAACATTTTTTATGAGTGCCAGAAAATTAATCCCATAGGTTTCAAAGCAGTTAAAATACCACGGGGGAAGAGCTGCCTCTTCAAACTAAAGTCTATCTCTTTTTCTTTTTTATAGTGAATTGACTATAGATTTACAGAGAAGATAATCACTTTCACATTCAACAAATCATACACTTAGTTTCAACTCAATAATTGCCATCCCCTCCATGCAACAGTTAATCCCACTTCCTCCCTGTGGTTCCTATTTCCATTCCATCCTCATTCCCATCCCTTCTCAACTTTGTCCTTAGGTAAATGTTGCCTTTTTGATCTTGGATGATTGTCCATTCCATGGTAACCAAACCTCACTAGTGTTGTTATTCCCCACTATA